CAAATCCCCATATATATAATAGTGACTTCTGTAGGTAAATCATTTTGAAAGTTTTTCTAAAACTATTGATTCATTTGGAAAACTTTTTATTTTTCATTTCTATAGCCTCGTTATTATTAAATAATAGTAGTGACATCAATTTGCAGTATTGGTCAAATCAACGTGTTGTACCAGGACATTAGATTTCCAACATATATGAATAAACATATATTACCGTGTTGCACATTGTATTCCTTGTGCAGTAGGAAGTATTACAACTTTTCAAGTCAAGTGTTAATATTCTTACAATATTGTGGTAGCACATATCATATATTTACACAAAAAGTCCTGGGTTCAAACTCCCACTACTCTTGGGCGGCATTAACGACCACAGTACACATCAGCCTCAATACATACAGTAAAAGCCAAAGGAAAAAAAGTAACCTGCGCTGTTCCCAAATCCTTATGCATATTTAAAGGACCACTCTAGGCACCCAGACCACTTCAGCTTAATGAAGTGGTCTGGGTGCCTGGTCCCTCTAGGATTAACCCTTTTTTTTTATAAACATAGCAGTTGCTATGTTTATACTGAGGGTTAATCCAACCTCCAGAGCCTCTAGTGGCTGTCTCATTGACAGCCGCTAGAGGCGCTTGCGTGCTTCTCACTGTGAAAATCAAAGTGAGAGCACGCAAGCGTCCATAGGAAAGCATTGTAAATGCTTTCCTATGCGACCGGCTGAATGCGCGCGCGGCTCCTGCCGCGCATGCGGATTCAGCCGATGACGTCGCGAGCAAGGAGGAGAGGAGGAGTACAGCTCCCCGCCCGGCGCTGGAGAAAGGTAAGTGTTTAACCCCTTCCTGAGTATGTTTTCCTGGCACTATAGTGGTCCTTTAAACAAAAAGGAGGTTATTTAGTTACTCCAATGGCCATTAGAGGGATGCCCACCTGCCATATAAAGGTAAACCTCTTAGGTTGGGCCAAATTCCTATGCATATTTAAACAAATGGAGGTTAATTAGTTACTCCAACGGCCATGAGAGGGATGCCCACCTGCCATGTCAAGGCAAATATCATATATTGTTCTGTTTTTGCTATGTTCCATAAACTGATTTTAACAATTTTGTGGGATTCAATTACTAAGAATCAGTGATGCCGCTTTTATTAATATTATTACAATTATTATAAATTGTAACAACCTCTATAGCTCTGTACACTTGGTGGATTAACAAACAAATAGTTAGAAGATGGACTTACAGGAACAGAAAGTGCTGAATGCTCTGCTGAAATCAGTCCAATCCTATTAATATTGCTCTCCATTGCAACAATTTGTGGACGCAGGAGGCTTTGGCTTCATTATAGTTGGACCGAAGCTTCCACAATAACAACATGGACACTGTGTATGATGTGAGTGTGAGTGGATTCAGGTTTATTAATAGCCTTGACGTCAACTAACATTTGACTAAAGACTTCATGAGATGGAAATCTCATACAGTGATTGCTAGAAGCTGCTCAGATCCTAAAAGGAATAAAGACCATATTGATTGTGTTGTACGAACATGTAATCCAAAAAATATTTAAATTGAAAAAGCATAGTTACTTATTCACATTAATACTGACCAGTATTTTTTCCCATTTTTTCCTAATTAAATATATGTCCTATGATATAACAGGACTCTTCTGTATGCCAATGTAGCAAAATATGTTGATTTGCAGCTTATTTAAAGAAACTTTAGTAAATTAACACTCCATAACTAAATTAGAAAATAGAAATGTATTTTTTCTGAGGATGAAAATATATAGACCACCAATAAGTTCCAATAACTATAGTTGCCATCCTCAAGGTGATTTCTGAATGACTGTTGCATAAAGATAAGCTTTGTCACCCCTTAATGTTTTTAAATCTATTGCAATTATAAAATCAATTAATAACCAATAGACTTTTTGGATGAATGCAAAACTAAATTATATTTTCATTATTCATTGCATTCATATGAATAGAAATAATGAGCAGCTGTATGACTGAATTGATTTAAGAACAAATAGCATGATAAATGTAATTTGATCATATAATTCATTCTTCATACAATCTGTCATGATGAAATAAGGGAGACCTGCTTAATACCCCTGTACACTCACCCTTTGTAGAATAATAATATTAGTGAATGGCCAGTATAAGAACTCACTCCTTTCCATTAACTAGTCTGATAAATATGCATTGCTTGTTGAATGATCTCCCTACCCTTTATCCATTTACAGTGCTGGATTGTTATAATAATCAGTACATTGCTGGTGACGCCTGGCCACGAGCAGACTGCCTACATATACTGTTGAGGGTGGGCAGTACCTGGTCTATTATACCCTAATAACAGCAAGTACCAACCCTCCATTCTGTTGCAGGGGAAGCCTTAATATCCAACACCTACTTTAAGATTAATTTACCAAATACTATATCCCCATATTGGGGAATTTAAAGAAAATCCCTTCTAAAGCCATTTCCATAATGTTTCCCCTTTCATCTTCTGTCCAAAGAAGTAGACATTAAGATTAAAAAAAACCTATTAAAGTCTCAACCCAATAATAGTTAATACGCTTCACATAAATATAGATTCAGGGACCTACTGGCTGGAATAAATGTGATTACAACTATAAGGCAAGATATTTAAACCTTACATTGATTTCAAATAAATGTGCTTATTTAGATTGCTCCAGATAATTTTAAGTTATTTATTTATTAATAAAATATTTTAACATAAAGGATACAAACACTGCATTGTTAAATATTGCTAATTATATTAGGATGTAAACTTGGACAATTGTATTGGAAGAATGGCAATTCGTACAAATTTCTGCTGAATGATTCTGCCAAAAAAAACGAACTTCAAGGTGACACACAATCTAATCATCCATTACTTTTGAAAGTATATGTTACTGGGATCTAGGCAGCCTATTGTCTTGTATTTTATTACAGAAAACTAAACCAAAACATCTACGAATGTCAAAGGTACCAAACAAAATTTTAAATTTACCCAAGTTTGCCCTGAAGCCTGTCAGCATCTTTTAAAAGAAAAAACAAAAAAAACAATCAAACAATCTGCAGGCAAATCAGAACAGACTGCAAAAAATGCTATAGAAGTTTTAAGGCAGTGAGTTTAAATCTTATAAAGCTACAAAGCCAATACAAATAACTTGGTCATTTCTATGTTATTGACAGCTTGGTCCCCCACGACCATTCCTATTATAGAGGAAGACTACTGGAGCACAAATCCTAAAGGATTACAAAAATGTATTTAAAATGAATATTTTGGTAGTATTCATTTTAATTTTGTACAACTATTTTTGACCACCTTCATTGTTTTTCTTTTAGAAAAATTGAGAAATACAGGCATGTATTTGTATACACATAACATTACGTTCTAATATATTATGCAACATTCTAAAAGTACGTTTTATATATGATAAGTAAAGTTAGAGCTCCCTATTTATATAAAATGGTATACATTTTAGCCTTCTTCAATACTGCACAAATTCTTCCCCCATCACTGAAACATCAACAAATAAATACACATCAGTGCAATCTGCTAAGGTGGATGTTTTTTATGGCTGTTTATAAAATTCTTGTTGAGGTAGGCCATAGGAATAATGTTATCAAATTAAATCCACATGGATGCAAGTGTAAACTGACATCTTAAAGGCATCCCCTCACTTAGTTTTACATTCATCAAGCCAGCTGTATCATTGTACAGAGCATTATGATTATTACAACCATTTAGCATTGTTTGCATTTTGATGATTTTGCATGTACTATTACTACGACTATACCAAAATATTGGGCTATAAGCTGAACCTAGATAAGAGAGAAGCAATGCCAATCCTAACTCCCCCCAGTTATGCTCAATGCTGCAAAAGACATACCCATTTCGCTTCCAGGAAAAATGCATCCACTACCTAGGTATATACTTACCAGTAGACCTACAATTTATGCACCGATTGAGCTACCTCCTGCTGGTAGAATTGGCTAATAAGGACCTGCAGTCGTGGCAAAAAATGTCTATCTCTTGGCTGGGCAGACTTGCCTTTGTGAAAATGAACCTGCTTCCCCGGTTCCTATACTTGTTTCAAACCCTCCCCATCCCGATATCCAAAACCGACTTGAAATCCCTCCAAACGCAGATAGATAAATTTATCTGGGCAGGAAAGAGAGTCAGGATAAAATGAATCACACTATACATCCTACATAAAAAGGAGGCCTTGGCCTGCCGAACTTCTAGTCCTATCACCAAGCAGCCCAACTAGCACCAATACAAAACCTTCATGCCCCAGCAGGGATCAAGTTATGGGTGGATTTGGAACATGACCTCTTTGGCAGGGATTTCCCCTTGTTGTACCTCTAAAGCCAGAACAGACCCAGGGTCCCCCCAACCACACCATGGAGACATCTATACAAATATGGGACAGGACAACACACAAACACAAGATCATTAATACTGAGGAACGAACAATTTACCCGGGTATGACACCCCAACACTATGCCCACTTTGAAGTTAATGGCCTCATTCGGTTCTGCCATTTTTTTCGTAACCACCAACTCTTCCCTTTCTCCGATCTACCACAAAACACTCCCTTTAACACTTTCGATCACTTCCGATATCTCCAGATCTGCAGCTTCTTTACCACACCAAATGTCACAGCGGCTGCAACGGCAAAGCTCACTATATTAGAGAAAATGTGCCTACAAACTGCCATACAAAAGGGCCAAATCTCCATCCTATACAACATTCTGACACAAAACACCCCCTCAGAATCCTTCTTATATGAGATAGATCTGGGCCCCCGGGGAGACCCATTGGACTGGGCGGACATTTGAGAGGCCACTGCATCGATCACTATATGTGTCAATCATAAAGAGCAGGCATATAAGACTTTGCTCTGCTGGTATCTTACCCCCCTGAGGCTCACAGAAATGCAACGGTCGGATTCTGACTGCTGCTGGAAGGGTTGCAGAGAGAGGGACGAGAGGGGTGGGAGTGTACCCACATATCCCAACTATGGAGAGAAGTCGCCAGTCTCTCCTCCAGAGCACTACAAATAGACCTTCCCCTAGATCCATGGATCTGGCTACTGTCTAAACCCCACGAGGAACTGACCAGGGCACAAAATAAATTGGTGGCAAAAGTAGCGCTGGCAACACGGAGACCAATAGCCACACACTGGGGCAGCACGGAGATCCCTGCAATCCCATAGGTACAAAGGAAAATAAGAGAAGCCATGGAGATGGACGAATTGTCCATACTTATCCTCGATAACACCAGGTCCTTCCACAAAATCTGGGACCCATGGTGCACCGTGGCAGGCCGTGGCAGGCGCCGGGCTGGGCGTAAGGAGGGCCATGGCGAGTGCCAGGCTAGGAGTGAGTGAGGAGGGGTGAGGGGGGACACTGCACTACTCTCTACCCCCTTTTCTCCTGTCCTCCCCCGCTCCTCTCTCTACCCCTGCCCTCCATACCTAGCTACCCACTTCAGATCCATAACTTTTCCCATTCCCCACCAAACACCCACACCGATAAAGGATCAAATATATATCCAGTTCCCAAAATAGGCAGAGACAAAAGCACCATGGAACAAATAAGAAGTACACAGAAAAGAGGGACCATAAATGAATGGTCATCCAGGGGCCTCTAGAACAACACACGCCCCACAGATAGCATTCAGTCTCAGACCACATTCTCACTACATCACGAGATTACGGCATCCCATAATTGAAGACCCCTACACTTGAGCAGTAGACACGGGTGCGCCATCTTGGACACAACACTGGGTTGGATAGACCTACGGGGCCCCAGAACCACTACGCATACACACCCACCACACGCCACTTATCCCAAACTCCAAAGATTCAGCACAGTCACAGCACGGAACGGCACATAGCCGCCAATTTGGTGCACTGGATATTTCTCCCTTCAAAACAAAGAACCATATCATAAGGTTTCAAAGTATATACACTAAATCCCTTCTGACCTGGCACGAGAATACATGTATAACAAGAGACAAGTTATATTACTCCCACAACCATACCGTTAACAACTTCTACTGTCGAAAGATAACTAAAAAATGTATATTACATGGAGAAAGTTAAAGGGAACCTCTGAAACATGTTACATGAAAATGAAATATTGAAATAATGTTCTCATGTTAAGATGTACCACACCACCTTTAACATGTATTGTAATACTGGCTATCCTATTAACCTCTTTACTTTGCCTTCTGTAACTTCCTACACTATTGAACAAAACTAAAAAAATTTTTTTTTTAAATACCATAAATAAAGAATAAAAAAAAAAAAAAGGAAATGCTCAGACATTCACTGTGTTGAGGTATAAGCAGAATCTTAATGGAACATCAAGTGCACATCAATGTTTCGACCTGCAATCACTTCTTTGTCAGGTCTTTGACTAAGACCTGAATGCAGGTCGAAATGTTGCTGTGCACTTGATGTTCCATTAAACTCCTGCTTATACTTCAACACAGTGAGTGCCTGAGCATTTTTCTTTTTCATACTATGCATATGGGGTATGCTGGCCCTAGCTCAGCTTAGCAACCTGTAGTTATTTTTTGGTTGAGTGCAGTCCCTATTATTTATTATACCTCATGTCCTATTAGTCCTCTTTATGAATAGTTTTTCAAGACAAGGTTTGTACTGGCCCTGGATATATTTGTATAATGATACCATATCCCATACAAGGTGCTGTTTTTCTAAACTAAAATGATTTCAATTTGTAAACTTTCTTCATAAATAAAATATTCCATTATTTTTATCAATTTTGTAGCATACCTCTGCACGTTTTTCAAGTGCCATAATATCCTTCTTTAGAACAGGGGCACAACTTTACATGCTAAAGATGTGGTTTTACCAGTGATTTATAAAGAGGCAAAATTATATTTTCATCCTGAGAATTTATGCCCCTTTGTATACATGACATTACATGACAATAATTTATACAACTGCTGATTGACATTGATCATTGTTGCCTAGTTTGTTGCCTAGTTTGTTGTCTATACCAATTCCCAAATCCCTTTTGAGTGTTGTTATCCCAAATTACCATTTAGGTTGTAAGTTGCTTGTGCATTCTTTACCCAAAGTGCATAACTTTAAATTTATCTATGTTAAATGTTGTCTGCCATTTGAGTGCCCAGTTCCCCAATGTATCTAAATCCCTCTGCAGTGAAGTAATATCCTGCTCACATTGTATTATTTCACAGTTTGTGTAATCTGCAAACACCGAAACATGACTTTCAATGCCTATTTCATGATCATTTATAAATATGTTAAATAGAAGCGGTCCTAAAACAGAACCCTGTGGGACACCAGTTACCACTTTTGTCCAGCTTAAACATTTACAATTAATGACAATTCTTTGTATTTTAAGCCAATGTTCTACACAAGAACAAGAATTTCTATTTTGACCAAAGTATTTTTGCTTGAACACTAATCTATTGTGTGGAACCATATCAAGCATCTTGGCAAAATTCAAGTAGATCACATCCACTGCATCACCCTGATCTTTATTGCTACTTACTTATTTTTGCAATTGTTAGATGAAAAGACTTATGTTTCATAAAACCATGCTGATTTTTACTAATACCTGTATTCTTTCCTACAAATTCCTGAATATTATCCCCGAATAACTCTTTAAATACTTTCCCAGTCACAGAAGTCAAACTCACAGATCTATAATTTCCAGTCAAAGATTTTGAATCCATTTTGAATGTAGGAACCACATCTGTCTTCCTCCAATCCTCTGGTACATTTCCTGAAAAAAAAGAATCCTGAAAGATAAATAACAGAGGTTCACTTATTTACACACTTATCTCCTTAAGTACTCATGGGTGAATACCGTGTCACCGGGAAACTTTGTTTAGATTAACTTTCTTTAGTTGTTGCAGCACCTTGTCTTGAGTCATCCAATCACAATCTTTTGCAAGATTTTTGCAGCAATAATTCCATATCTTTGCCATAGGTTCCTCCTATATATATACTGGGAAAAAAAAACAAAAAAAACTTTCCCCTCCTTTTTAAAAGATTTTTTACCCCCTTCTAAAAAAAAGAAAGAAAGAAATATTTATTGAGGCTGATGCGTACATTGCTGCCATCAAAGAGTAGTGGGATTTTGAGCACAGGGCTTAATTTTGTATGTTTGTATTTGGAAAGTTTATCCAGCAATATTAAATCTTGGCCATAGTTAAGGCTATTTTAGCCTTAATTTACATTAATTTGTAAAGGAACAAATAACATTCCTGTTGCATTAAAAAAAAAAAAACAATAACAATTATAAATAAATAAATAAATAAATAAAATCTAGAGCTAAAAGGGTCCCTCACCACAACCCTTCTCTGTCCACGAGGAGATCATTAGGACAGGACAGGCAAATGCTTCTCATAGAGAAGAATTTGAGGCAGGGTACATGTGCTGTAATTGCTGTGCTTCTCTATGAGTAGTGCTGCTTTCTCCTTTATGCTGAAGCACAAATCAATCAGGAAGAGCACCTTCCTGGCTGTCTGATTGACAGCTTGGTGTGACCTTGCCACTTTATAAAGGTGGCAATTGATTTTTCTTAAAAGGGGAGGTATTCTTGGCTGAAGTGCTTTAGGGGTTTAGCGTATTCCTTAAAATTCAATTAAATGTACAGTTTAGTAAATAAATCCCCAATCTGCACCATTATTACTGAAAAGGAAAAATGTACATGGCAGTGCTCCAGCATTACTTCAGTACAAATCAAAGGAAACTTTTGATCAATGTGAAAATGAAAATCTGTCAGTATATCGTTATGAAAATGTTTGATGATTTGAAAACAGGCCTAATTCTGAGGATGGGTTGTATGTCCCTATGTGACACTGTGCTGTGCTCTTCCATTCAGCAACTACCATCCTCACTGACTATGCACACCTCTATGTTAATAAGCATTTATATGTTTCTATTCCACCTTGATCTAATTAGTCATAGATCATGTATCCTCTCTGCAGGCATATTGTCACCCTAGGCAATCTCCCTTTTAACTTGCATTTTTTCCTGTTCTGATAAGTTATATTCCACATGTTTATGCCATGTATGCTCAGCTTTATTTGTTAAACCAGGCCAGAATAAGGAACCCGGTGTCCTTAATAAATATACAATGTTTATTCCACTTTTATTTCAAATGTAGTTTTTAGATGTATCTATTATTCTGATTAACAGTGTATCATTCTTTATGACAAAAAAGTAAAATTGCAAACAAAAAAACTTTTAAAAAAGTCATATAATAGACATGCAGCACATCTATGTACAAGACACATAAAGTTATAACACAAGTGAAAAATAAAATATATTGTGGTGATAAGACATAAGACAAAGAAAAGTACACATTTGTTTCTTCATTTTCCCCAAAGGGATTCCTTTCTGTATTTGAGAAGAAAAGGAATTGACAACAAAGATGAATGTTTGCTGTGTTTTTCATGTGTTCTGCTTTGCTGATGCTCAGATCAAGCAACTATTTTATGTCTATAGACTCGTTATATATAAAGACATATTGCCACCCCATTGAAACCTGTAAACATACACTAACCACAAATGTTACTCAAATTGATAGTTGACATGAATTGTCAAAAGCAATGGACAATTTTTGAACTCTTTCTTTAACATTTGGTCAGATTGATTTTTCGCTGTACATCATTGCTGCTTAAGAAAAAACAATCATCATGCGGCTGATGTAGTTGATATTCTTCTAAAAATCGTATTGTTGGACTTCAAGTCTCACCAAACAAAAATAAAAATGACCTGAGGAATTGTCAATCTCCATTGAGGTTTCAGATCAATGACATCTTCTTTTCCTCTTACCGATTTTAGAGAGGTGTTTCAAAAAACAATGCTTGAGGGCATAGTCTGTCTGCTATGAATTCACCCCCTCCCGTTCCTCCCCACCACCTTGCCTTTATTGATACTGCTTATGTGTTGATCCCTCCCATATTCCAATAACAAACCTCTGTAATTTCACAGGATGGAGCAGGCTGCCAATCTATAATGTGGCTGGCTATGATTAATCTGATAAATAATAAATATATCAATCTACTCTATCAGACAAGGACAAATTCTCACCAGCGGGGAAGCACAATACATCTCTTATAGCTGCCTATAGTGATGAAATTAATTATTTAATGCTTAATTCTTCAGGAAATGAGAAAGTTTTGATTAATGTTGT